TCATGACTGAGTTTCCCAAGCAGATTCTGGACCCAGATCCTCGGTCTTTGACCAAGTAAAGTGATTTTACTTTAAGAAGACTCTGACCACTGAGTTGCCATGTTTCTTTCCTGCATGAATAAGCGTGTTTCTAATTCCTTCTCTAATTCATTTTACCCTTGTGGAGAAGAACACTCAGAATCCCAGACTTGGCATAAAGATGGTTTTAAGCTGAAGACATCTGAGATTCAACAGATGCAGAAAAAAGCCTTCCTGAGCTTCCCTTATCTGACTAAAAGCAACTTCTGGGAAATGACGCTACCATAAATCCCCTCTCTGGGGGAGTTTTATGGTCCTGATGGAGACAGAAAGACTGATCTTACCTGTATAGACAACCATTATCAAAAACTTTCTTATCTCCTGTCTGCTCTCCTAAAAACCCGTTTGTTTTTCTTAAATAAACCTATTTGTTTTTCCCTTAGAAGCTGTTTCTCCCCACTCCCTTTTCCCTGCTAGGTTACGTCTGTAAACCTTTAACTATTTAAGGACCCAGATAATTCTTCTGTTGGTTCCTGTATGCATATGAAATAAACCCTTTTCTCCTGTTAAAGTGTCTTTTGTTTAACTGGTGATTAAACACCTACACCCTCTAAGCAAACGTGGGCATCTTGTTTGTAAGGAAACAAGAAACAGCTTTGCTCCCCCTAGTGGACAACGGAAGGTTCGGTCCAAACAGCAGGTCCGCACACTTGGATGGCCTGCCACCAAATCCTGGTCCTGCTACCTTCCAGCTATGCGGCCTTGGGCAACCCATTTGAGTCTTTTGTGCCCCCTGGAAAATGAGAATAGTCATGGTTCCAGTCTACGGCTTGTGGGGGATGAAATGAGTTAAGGTGAGTGAAACTTAGACCGAGCAGGTGTCGTCAATAAACGTTAGCTCATCGTACCTGCATTTGCAGCCGAGGGCCCCAATTTATTTTTTCTAAAGTGATCTCACATGGGACACCAATTATACTGCCAGCTGTTGAATACGTGTTGTATGGCTGCCGCAACTCTAGGTATTTTCTCACTTAACCCTCAGAACAATCCTCGGAGTTGGGTGTTATTATGCTTCGACTACTCTGAGAAAATGGAGAATTAGCCACTTAAAGTAACTGGTACCCAGCTAATGAATGATAAAGCCGGTAGTCAAGCTGTGTTCTCTCTGACCCTGAAGCCCACACTTTGAAACGTCACTGTTTCTTCAATCATTAAATACTTACTGAGCGCCAACCAGGAACCATGGAAATACACGCCTGCTTCTCACGTTTACTATGAAAGTTTAAATCTTAGGAGTGAAAAGGTGATGCATCACAGGCCACCCGCCCGCCCACAGTGTCTCCGTGCTTGCCATCAGCTTCTCCCCAGACTGTCTCCTCCTTTCTCTAAAAACCTTTTTATCTGGAAAATAAAGTCCTACCTTTGTACTTGCCAGACGGTGGGCGGCCTTGTACTTTTTCTCCACTGCGTGGTAAACTGCTCGATCGTATTTATACACATACGTTCAGCCAACATTTATCAAACACCAACTCTATGTCCGGCCTCTGCCAAGTCCTGAGGACGTCGTCCCCAGCGTCACGGACAGAGTGGGAATGACCTACGGATAAAAATGTACGGCCGTACCCATAATGCACAGCGACGCTTGTTAACACGGCCACCTGCGCCAAATGCCGGAGTAAGCGGCGATTCAGCGTGTTTGTGGGAGGGGAGGAGTCAAGCTAATTTTACAAGAAAATTAGCATTTGACTGAATAGGAAAAACAAGGAAGAGCATTCGAGGCCCTTGGGACAGAGGCAGGAAAGCGTGTCCTGTCCGTGGGAATGGGGAGTTTTCTGCACGTGGCCAGAGTATATGGGGAGAGATGAGATGCAGACGGCAGATCGAGACCAGATTGTGGAGCGTTTTGAAGTCATCATGAAGGATGTGGACCCTGTCCTGTAGGCCAGAGGGAAAAGCTGGCCCCGATGTTTTTTAAGCAGGGACGCGCCTACGACAAAATGAGTCAACAAGCCTGGGATCCCAGGGAGGCTGCTGGTGAGACTCCCTGGACGGAGAGGTGGGTAGGGGCTGGAGACCACGTGGCTCCACGTGGAAGTCGAGGCTGCAGTTGGTCGTTCAGGGCTGTTGAGGCACCGTGGGGCGTTCGGTGTAGATGTCAAGCAGGCTGTTGCGGACCTAGTGGCTAGCAAGGCTGCAGATCAGGGTGGCCACACTTAGCAAATAGATGCTCAGTTCAACTGGAATGTCAGATAAGCAGCAAATCCTTTTGCAATATTTGTGTGTCCCATGCAATATCTGGGACAACGAATCTTTTAAAAGTGTAAGTATACCCCAAATGGTACCTGAGATACACTAAATTAAGATTAGTCATTTACCTGACATTCCAGTTGAACTGGGCTTCCTGTATCTTACCTGGCGACCCTACCTGAGAGGTACCAAGGTGGCGCACTCTGGATCCTGACCCCTTTCCCTACCATGCCAGTATGTGGAGCTTTTATTACTAAACCTGGGATGGCCCAGGCAGACTGGGATGAGTCCGAGTTGCTCACTCAAGTCTGAACAGATGTTGCTCAAATTGAATTGAGAGAATTTTCCGACCCTTATGAAACCTGCGGGGGCCTTCGGTTGGGGCTGGTGCTCTGTGCACCGTGAGGAACCGCAGACCACGCCAGGCCAGGGGTCCGCACCCCAGAGACCACTGTCTGCAGCTCCACGTCTTCACGACGTCATCCGCTGCCTTGACCGTGCCAATGAATTCCAACCTTTATTGGAACTTTCCTGTGGTTTGGATTTTCTTCTTGAGAAGAATATTTGCTACTGATTTAGTCCTGTTTTAAAATTCTGTCCGGTCGAGATGTTGTCCTGTTTTCATCTCTGTGTGACTCTTCCTCAGTCATTTCCTTTCTTCTCAGTTCACTTGAGTCCACCTCCTGCAGTTTGCTTATCAGAGCGACATACACCACAGGCCTGGACTCGGTCCTGACATCTCCTTAGATTTAATCCCAATGCTGTTTCTCTGTCAAGCAGATGTGTATTAAAATGTGCATAAGAAAAGAAGCTGGGCTTATTTAGAAACTTCTTCAATTTGCACAAACTCCATTGGTAGAAGAGATTTTCTTTTCTATAAAAACCCACAACAAACGTATGTTAATAGCTTCTTAGATCAAGACAGATTCCTATTTGGCCATTTCTGCCATCATTCTGCCCCATTGGCAGAGACACAAAAACGGTGACTGAGTATTCAAAGATGCAGAGACATCTGTGGCACGTTGGAGCCTTTTTCTTTTCTTTTTTTCTTTTCCGGTGCGCAGGCCTCTCACTGCTGTGGCCTCTCCCGTTGCGGAGCACAGGCTCCGGACGCGCAGGCTCAGCGGCCATGGCTCACGGGCCCAGCCGCTCCGTGGCATGTGGGATCCTCCCGGACCGGGGCACGAACCCGTGTCCCCTGCATCGGCAGGTGGACTCTCAACCACTGCGCCACCAGGGAAGCCCCTGGAGCTTTTTTCTTGATTGTAGGATCTCTTTGCTCCCAGGAATGAGTGACTTCAACAGCCTGTTAAATGGTTTTGTCCAAATTGAAAGAGTTTGGTTTTTTTTGTCTTGTCAGGCATTATAACGTTTACAAGGTGTTAGAAATGACTCCAATTTCGACTCAGGTCTTTGGGGCTTGTGTGTGTGTTTTAAAACAGCTTATTTTCAGGCACAGAAAACAAACGTATGGACACCAAGGGGGGAAAGGGGGGGTGGGATGAATTGGGAGATTGGGATCGACATATATACACTATTGATACTATGTATAAAATAGATAACTAAGGAGAACCTACTGTACAGCTCAGAGAATTCTACTCAATGCTCTGTGGTGACTTAAATGGGGAGGAAATCCAAAAAAAGGGGATATACGTATATGTATAGCTGATTCACTTTGCTGTACGGTAGAAACTAACAACATTGTAAAGCAATTATACTCCAATAAAAATTAATTTAAAGAAACAGCTTACTTTCAATGTGATAAAGGCATCTGAGAAACAAGCTTTCACTCGCTAAGCTAAAGTTAGGGCCACTGGGCTGAAACCATCAGTACATGTACGTACATGGGCATAAACAAGCACAGCACACACACACACACACACCACAATTTAATTATATAAAAAATATTCCGAGCCATGTTTTCTGGACTATTCTTGATCTATTAATAGATAGACATACTTTACCTTTTGTGACACAGACGTCAACCTCAGGGCCATCTGACCTGGCAGTTTAAAAAACAGGACTATTAGGGCAAGAACCTGGTGGGGGGGGGTCCCATATATCAGGCAGTTGAGTCCAGAAAGGAGACAGAGAACTGGCCAGACTGGTGTCAAATTCAAAGCCAAGAAAACACAGAGTCAGCGGGAGGAGAAAGAGAAGAGGTGGCACAGGAGAGCAACCTGTGGTCCACAGTCAGACAGCGTTTGCTCTGGGTCTTGTTGGCAACTTTGGGCTGTGTGTGGGTAGCCAGGAGGAACCAGAGGCCGGCAGGCGAATCCCTCCCGAGTTCCTGCCAGTGGCAGAAGTGCTGGACCCAGTGACAGAGCTTGAAGATATCCTTATCATTCCCCCGATAAGAGGTATCAGATAACATTTTTAGACTTCACTATTTCGGCCCGGAAGCAAAAGGAGCATCTAAGGCCTATAGTGCAGATGTAATTTACAAGGATTGTGTTGGGCAACACCTGTCCAGCAGGTGGGAAACCTGAGTTCCCATCCTGGAGCAAACCACTTCCTCATCGACAACTGAGTTTCAAATGAGTGACAATCAGCCTTCACTTGCTTCAGCGTCACCGGGTTACGTCCCCAAGCCACCTGATATTTTTTACTAGCTCTTTAGCTGTGTATGTATAGTACTGACGGTATTTATTACACTTGGACTTGGGGATAGGGAAGTGTACGTTTGGAATGGGGTGCGAGTTCATTCACTAGATTTAATGCCAGGGAACGAAGGCTTTGCTTAACTTTTTATTCATTATGGCACAAGTAAGAAATTTAGGAAACACCACTGAAAATGTCATCGCCAATATGAAAATTAAGAGTAGCATGTTTTATAAAAAAAAAAAAAACCATCTTTTTCTATAATACACATTCCCTTATGAAGTGAAAAAAAATTTTCATAAAATACTGAAGCGAATTGCCACCCGCTGGTCAAAAATTGTTCTGCAGTTGAAAAACTTCAAATTTACTACTGCACTATGGTAGGAACACTTTACACTACACGTAAAATTACCAAAGAAAACATTTCCTCAGCCTTTGGCACAATGTAAATACAGAGCTTAATCTTTTTCCAAATATGATTTACTTCACAAAGCACTGCATATAATCTGGTTAATACTGATTATGGGGCAAAAGGAAAAACCATGTTCTGTAACTTGAATACTCTCTTTTGACCCTCAAACACTTTATAGCTGGATTCCAGTTTGCAGTTTTGAAAAATACATAAAAATCGTACATTATAAATATATATTATATATGGTCTATATAAAATTGAATTTGACCTAGAATGGGAAGGACAACTTCTTAATTATTCTTTCTTTGTCAGGCACGGCCTTTCTCTCTGAATTCTTTCTAAACAGATTCTAAAAATATATTCCATACTGTACCAAATTTAATATTTTCCTTAAAACATATTCAACATGAAAAAGCATTCAGTGACTATATTTTTTCGTATCTCACTACTATAGAAAAATATGGCTTCTCATATTCTGTTTTATTTTGTTTTGTTAGTGTTTTCCTCAGGCATCGAAGAAAGGGCTGTCCCCAGTTAAAAAGCTACGGCCAAAGCACAGAAACCTGCTTGTGCGTATTCTAGAACACTCTATAGAATCTCATTACTTAGAATAAGTGATTTAAAAATGTGTTCCTTCTGTTTTCTGTGAATATAACATATAGGATTATCATACATAATCTGTTACAGAATATACAAGAGTCAAAACTGAAGACACATAAATACAATTAAGCTATACCAAAGCAAGAGCTTTATCTTATACAGAGCCAATGTGAATAGCTTTTAGACTGGGTATTAGCATCCACTTCTGGTTTTGTTTTTTCTGAAGGCTGGCTATGCAATAGAATCTTATTATAAATGGCCAGGGTCCTAGTGCTCTATATCTTTAAGTGAACTGACTTTTCTCGTGTTATTATTTTTTTTTAAGTGTAAAAGAAGAAAAACAAGTAAGTGCCCAATTGTCCAACCCCACTTTTTCCCCTACGGAGTGGAAGAAGGCTGTGTGGGACGTGAGGGCTGAGCGTGGAGGGCTCATCTCATACCAGCGTTTCCGGGAGGGCATCGGGGTTGTCGGTGGATAAGAGCTCCCAGATCTGCCACCGCTCCCTCTGCCAGTCGAGCCAGCTGGGTTCCCCTAAGGTCTTACTGTTCCGATCGCTGGCGGGACTGGGGTAGGCGCTGCTCGCTTTCTGCTGGGCGGCCTGACGCTCTCGCTCGGCTCTTTGGATTCCCTCTTCCAAAGCTGTTCCCGAGCCTCCTTCTGGCCTCTGAGGCCTCCACAGCGGCGGCTCCGCGGGCTGCTGGGCCGATGCTAGGGCCTGCTTCCCTGGACCAGGATACGGAGGAGGAGGCCTCTTGTCGCGCCTGGCACCCTCTGCAGGTCTCTGGTGCAGAGGCTTGGCTCTCCTCTGCAGCCAGGCCGCCTCCGGCTCGCGCTCCGCGAGGTCTTCGGTCCAGCACGGCTCCGGCCTTGGCCTTGGCGCGCGCCTCCCGCCCCCGCCGCCCTTGATGGGGGGCGTGCTGCAGACGCGGGCCACGGGGGCGTGCGCCCTGCACTCGGCGATGGTGCTCGTGGTCTGAGTCCTGCCAATGACCTGCGCACTGCTGTCCAGTTCCATGGGGCTCCCCTGCCACCGGGGCCAATTTGGGGACAGGTTCCCTTGCGAAAGAGAACACGGCCCCGGTCGGAGGGAGCTGCTTTCAAAAATGTCTCCGTAGGAACCTGGGAGCCGGAGAGAAGGACGAGAAATGGAATTGGTTTGTAGAGCCCCTGTCGGGATGCCCTGATATCTCCTTCCTACTGCCAATTTCAAAAACTGAAGAAGTGCTGACACGCTTAGTTGTTGTTGCCTAAAGTGAAAGACCTCCTAGTAAGAGACACGTGCAGCGCTTTTTGATTACTGGCGCAATTCGCGAAGCAGCTCCAAAGACAGATGCCTGGACTCTGACAGGTTAGCTGTCAAATGCAACCGGATAGTCCTTGGCCCTAAGTGATGTTTTAGGAAAGCCCCCTTCTGCGTGGTTATGAAAACTTCTCTGAACCTAGAAGGTGAAAGGAACATTCCCTTCCCGCTCAGCGCAACTTGCAATCCAGAGGAGGCACAAATGTTTCCACGTTTCTATTGTGTCAATTAAAGCTGCAGGAATAAATGAAATGAATCAAAAGTGCCTCATCTGGTGCCAGAAGATAATGAAGACAGCAGCCGCTGTGTACATTCCACCACCTCCACTGTGGGAGAGACTGGCTCGTTGTTCACCAAATCGTCCCCTTTCCTTACTGGATGACATTTCCCAGCCTCCGTTGCAGTTAGGAGGGCCACATAAATGAGGTCTGGCTAACACATGTGCAGAGGTGTGATGTGAGCCATTTCTAGGCCTGGTCTAATAAAAAAATGAACAAACAAACAAACAAAAACCCAAATGCACTCCTAGTCTTTCCTGCTTGCTCCCTTCCTTTAACTTCTAGCCCAGGATGGAAAAACCACGGAAGACTCCAGCCTCTGAGGATGGGGGAGCCACCGGCTAGACGGAAATTGAGCCCCTGAATGACTCTGTGGAACAGAGCACTCCCACCCTTAATCGCCCTGCACAGTCCACAGTGGACTGGGCGGTGAGGGAGAAATCAACCTGCGAGAGGTTAAGCCACTGACATTTAGCGGGTGTTTCTTACAGCAGTTAGCCTTCCCTAACTGATACAACTTTCCTCAGGAAATTGAAAGGAGAGCAAAACAGTGCATTTCACAAGCAAACGAGGAGTTCCTGGGGCCTATGTCCCCAGGCTGCCTTTTCCCTATGGATTTGCCCTGTCCTCTCATTTCGTTTTAGTAGGCAGGGAAAGAGAGCAGATCATTTTGGGGAGAGAGGGGCATGTGAGCATTTATATAGGGACAGATCAGAGTTGAAAGAGCGAAGGAAAACAGAGCAGAATATCGTGGAATACTTTATCCTTGGGGGGAAAGGCAGTAAAGCACTTCATGGGATACAATGAGATGTAGTTAGATAATGGATCAGAACTCAAACTGGATTAGAGGCCATTAAATTAAAAATGTACCATGCTTTAAAACTGTAATACGGGAGGTGTTACAAAACAATGAGAAAGGGAACATATACACACATGTACACACACATATACATACATACACACACATTCGGGAGAAACAATAAAACAAAACAATTTACACACTTCATGCAATATATTAACATGTATTCCAGATGGATTAAAGAATTAAGGGTTAAAATAATGGAATACTATGAAAGGGAAAAGTGCATAGATGACTGACTCTCCAATGCTTAAGTAAAAGTAAAGATTAATTTTGTGAAATAATTCACAACAAGAGAGAGTGATAGACTTACTTACGTAAAACATTAAAAAAATTTCAGATATCCAAAAAGGGGAAAAAACTGCAAGGGATAATAATATCAGTGGCAAACAAAGTGGACAAAGGCTTAACGTCTTTATGATAGGAAGAGTTTGTAAGAAGCAATTTTAAAGACACTAGCACACACAAATAGCCAATGACATAACTGATAATCAGTGGGCGAAATTCAGCTGATCAATAGAAAAATGAAAAAACACTGGTGAGAAAGAAAGGCCAATGAAAATAGTACAAGTTTGCTCTTTAAGGAAGCCAAAATGCAAACGCAGTGATTTGCAATACGAATGAGGTTCGAGTGACACGGACAGTGCAGTGAAATGGCACTGCCACCTACAGCTCATGGGGCATCAGACAACGCATCTTCTGTGCAATGTGAAGTGACTGCACCTCTGAATTCTTGAAAAGGTGCATCATTTTTGACCCACTTTCCTATTCTGTTTTTTTTGTTTGTTTTGTTTTTGTTTTTGCTGCACCACGCGGCTCGCAGGATCTTAGTTTCCCAACCAGGGATTGAACCCAGGCCCTCAGCAGTGGAAGCTTGGAGTCCTAACCACTGGACCGCCAGGGAAGTCCCCCACTTTACTATTCTGGATTTGTAACTGGCTTTCTGAAATTTTGTGAATTTGTTAATAACTTAAAATACCAAAAAAAAAAAGTTCCATAGAAGAGGTCCCTGGCATCATGACTTATTACTACATCAGTAAAAAATGGAAACAACTCATTGTCCCAGCATTGGGCTCTAAACTACGAATATGCATCTGGAATACTACATGGCTCTCAACAATAACAATGGAAAATAACTGGAGAATGGACGGGAAACAAATCACATAAAGGTACACAGACAGAATGACTGTAACTATCTTTAAAAACTCTTGCAAATGAAACGAAATAAAGTCAAAGACTGATGTACTTTGGCGGAAAGGATAAGTATAGCTTTATCCCCTTTTTCTCTGTTTCCAGCATTTTCCAAACAATATTTGACCAACATGTAATACGATGATAGTAAGGTGAAAATGAAAGGAAATTAACTTAAAAAGTAAATGAAATACCGGTTTTAAAGAAGTATCCTTTACCTGTCATTCCTGGGTCTTTGGATCCACTTTTTAATGTTGAATGCCAAGTTCCCCAGATATTGAAAGCCTCCTCTGCCATGTCTAGGAAGAAGTGTATAAAAAAGGTATGTAACTCACAATCAAACTGAAGAGCAAAAAATCAATAGACAAATATGTTTATAACATCTCTTTTGCTCAAAGTACTATATTCGAGATTGTGATGGACACAAGGCAGAATACGGTGCAGACCTGCCTTTTAAGATGCTTATTCCATTTGAGATTTACAAAAAGGCTTTTTCTCTATGATGGCTGTGGTAGACAGAATAAGGACTCCCACAAAGATGTCCGTGTCATGATCCCCAGAACCTGTAAAGATGTTATATTCAAAAGGGACTCTGCAGGTGTGCTTAAATTACGGATTTTAAGATGAGGAGATGATCCTGGATTATCCGTGCGAGCCCGATGTAATCACAAGGGTCTTTATAAGAGGGAGGCAAGATAGAAGATGCTACGTTGCTGGCTTTAAAGATGGAGGAAGGGGCCAGGAACCAAAGAACGCAGGCAGCCTCTGGAAGCTGGAAAAGGCAAGGAAACAGATTGTTCCCTAGAGTCTCCGGAAGGAACACAGCCCTGTGGACCCATTTTAGATTTCTGATGTCCAGAACCGTATGATAATAAATTTGTGTGTTGTTTTAAACCACTAAGTTTGTGGTCTTTTGTTACGGCAGCAATAGGAAACCAGTAGAATTGTGATGGGTGGCAACAGCTCTGACCGCATTAACACAGAGACAGAGGAATAGTTACTTTATCTGGCAGCAACAGAGTCAGTCCTGCATGTATTTATTCATACATCCCCTTAGTCTGTCTGTAAATATTTACAGCCTAAGGCACTATCTTAGGTGTTTTCACCGTCTCATTTAATCCTCACTACAATTCTGATAATAATGATATTTCTAGAAGCAAACGTCTACCGGATGCTTCCCTGTGTTCCGCAGTTCATACGCATTCTCTCATTTAATCCTGAAGAGATGACCCTGAGTCCATTTTACAGATGAGGCAAGTACTCTCGCATTTTAAAAATAAATTTTATGCCTGATGGGAACATGGGTTACTGTTTTCATTGTAAATTTAAAAAACATTTTGACACGAATATTTGTAAAATTAAAAAAACTGCTGTGATTAAAAACACCAAAAGAAAAAAAAAGCCCTTTCAGAGTGGCTCTTCGGATTAAATAAATTTGAGATAAAATAGTAAGAATTTGTACCGTGTCTTCCAATTATTACTTTAAAAGTGTCCTGTTGAGTCCTGACCCTGAGGAATTACTCTGTGGAGGGAGAGAACAGAACCAAACATTCGGTGGTCAAATGAATTTGAGAAAAGCTGCAACCCATACCCTCCCTCCCATTGTGGAAATCCATGGTGCCCACTAGCACTTTAAAGAGTTTGAGAACTTGTACAGTGGAGAGACCGTTAGCTTGGTTAACCCAATATTTCCCAAATGTATTTGACCATGGAAACCTTATTCTGCCTAAAAACGTCATCTCCCATGGAGACCTCTTTGGAACATGCCAGCTTGTTATATAGTAAGTTCAGCTTGTTCCTTTTATAAAAGTTAACAGCAATGGTTCGGTGACATCTTAGCCTAACAAATACGCACCCCAACCCACAGGCCAGGACACATAAAGTTCCTCGGATGCTGGAGCAGAAAAGCCAGCTGGGAATGTCAGGGGCTGTCAGAGCTTGAGACCGCTTCCCAGCTAGCCGGGTCTGCAGGGACTCAGACTCAGAGTCGGTGTTTGGCAGGTCCTCAGTAAATGCTCATTGAATTAGAGAAACGTGAAATGGTGAAGGGATGGAGAGGAGGTCCAAATCACCCACATCAGGCCACATGCAATCAAAGTCACTGGTGGAGTTACCTTTCCCAAGCCTTGGTCCAGGAGAACTCTCCCTCGACTTCGAAGATGGCAAGTGGCCCACCCGCACATACTGCTCTGGCCCTTTGTAAAGCTTCTCTGAGCCCCCCGGGGCCACGTCCTCTTGCATAGCCAGCAGGGAGCGCTCGGACAGCACTGGGGAGTTGTTGTCATAAGGGGAGAGGTCTCCGCTGGAGGCCTTGTTGGAATCTGTGGACGAATGCCTTCCTCCCATGGAAAAGGAAACTTCCGACCTCAGCATGTCAGGGCTTCTGGCACAGGGAGACAATTACAGGTGCATGAGTGTGTTAACAATGAGCGACCAGATTCAAACAATCCGACGGTTTCACACAGGACAGGAGGAGAATGCATGGACACGGGCTGAAACAAAAAGAGCTTCTGAGCAAGGTTCCAAGACTCCTGTGTCAATAAGGTGAAAGCGTTTCTATGAAGTGGCCAGCAGATGGCAGTAAAACCCAACAGATGTTACAGGAAACAGCAAGGCGAAGTGGGGCGGGGGAGGGTGAAACACATGGATGCCTGTCTTCTCCAAGGTGCATCGCTGAAATGCCTGTTGGATCAATCCCTGTTTCGATTTAAAAATTAAAGTCTGATGCTCACTATCTGTTAAGTAGGGAAAAACTGTAGATAACTCTTTTACTTTCCTCAATAACCTGAATTAAAAATAATTCAGCTAAAACTATGATTGAAACTTTACGTGTAGTTCATTATGGCTTTACGGACACCTTTTCTCCCCGCACCCAAATACTTAGTGTAAGTGAATCCAACCTTCCTGAGGACGAGAACAACGATGATGCTGCTGGTGTGATGAGGACGATGACGATGATGACGCTGGTGGGAATAACTGTTTCATGGTTAAAACGGTGGCTAAAAGGATAAATATATGACCATCACTAGAGTCCATAGTATTTAAATACACCTAAAAAGACTCTACAAGGCACTAGTGCTTTTACAAATTGATATAAAGCGTACTAATTAGCATATCCATTAAGGTTTATATGTGCATGAGTTGTCACAGCAACAGAAATAACCGTGAAAACAGTGAGCGGAACAGGAAGATGAGAACATCAGGAACAGGACAACAAGAGTGTTGAAAGTCTTACCTGGGAACATCTGTATTTTCTACCTTCCTCAAAACAGTGGCCCTGACATCTTAAAGGGAAATGATCACAGATTGATGACAAGTTCCCAAACCCGTTTCTGTTCCCCCCCACCGCGCTCCCCCACTTCACTTCTCTTTACTTGTCTTTGCTTTCTTTTGGTTTAATTTTTCAAAACAAATCCTTTGTGATCTTAAAAGAAGGCAAACCCATGCCCGAGCAAGGCTTTCCTGACCAAAGGGTTCTGTGCATGCAACACGGAGGAAGGACGCTCTCAGGGGGTCTAGCTTCACGGTGGTCTCCAGCAGGGGGTAGTGCCAGGGGAAAGCATCTCAGCAGCTGTGTCATGCTTTCCCTGTCACCGAGGCAGCTGAGGGAATTTCTTACCCACATGGAATAAACAGTCCTTTCCTTGCCTCCTGTTTAAACCGATGACCGATAACCTTATGGGAAAGAGCCAGAGGACAACCACGAAACTTTAGGCCTCCAGTGAATGAAGGAAAAATAAAAGGAACTTACTACTCCTGCTGGGAAGTGGGGGAAGAAAACGATTTAACCTCCACCATTTAATTAAAGGGGGAACCCTCCCTAATTCTAGTGGAGGGGACACAAAACAAACCAAACGGACACTTGTCTGTCGTCATGGGGTTCGACTCCCGCTGAGGATGCTTTACTATGAAAATGAGAAAAATACGAACGTGCTGAATTGGTAGCAACACAGAGCTCAGCTCAGAATCAGGGTCCTATGTTCTGACCAGGGCTAGATATCAAATTGCTGGGCTAATTTCAGTTGTTTTCCCTGTTTAGTTGGCATTTTTCCATTCATTAATGAAAATGTCTTATGTCTACTCGGCAAGAATAAGTCATAGTGGTATATCGATAAGAGTGGGCACATAAAGCCTTATTTTATGGGCCGTTTTAAAGAGAGTCAAGTCAATTCACTTGCCAAAACAAAATAACCATCAGGGCTTCGAATGCTTTTTGGTCCCTTTACAATAGGAGGAAAGTTTTGGAAAGGTCGTATTGTAGCTCATGGAGACCACAATAGTTCGGTCTCATAGCTGGCTCTTCTGTCTTACAAAACATATAGAAGAGCATATATTAAGCAAAGTATTATAAGTTGCAGATTCAGCCGACAGTTATGTGCATAAAGAAAAACACCTCATGAAAGAAATTTCTTGAACGTCTCAGTACTAGGGACATTTGGGTTTCTCCCAGGCAAGCAGGTTATTTTTACCTACTTGGAGGTAAAAATTATTTCTCCACATAGAAACACGGGTCATGAAATAAAGAATGTATCTCTCTTTGCAATGACCGCTAAAAGGCTCTGAGGAATTGGGGCTCCACTCGAGTTGGCGTATTGGAGCTTGTGTGAAGCCTTTGTGTGTTTCACACCCCAACTTCAGCTTACCTTATCACTCTTTCCACTGCTTTCCTTTCCCTGGCCTTTCAAGTTACTTACTATGATATTGTTCCACTTTATATATTTTTGCGAGCTGCTTCAATACATTGTTTTTGGACTGGTGTACAGACAGGGAAATCAAGTCCATGTCGCTGGGGGTATTAAAAAGGCAGCATGCTTCATGAGAGCATTCAGTTTGGTTAAAACAAAACAGAGAACAATAACGGCAATAACAAAAATAACTGAAGCTGTCACATTGTTTTCTCCTCCATGATCATGGCTGTGATGGGATCTGGTCCAGCAGAGGTGAGGTGGGGGGGGAGAGGTGGAAAGCCACTGTCCTCTTCCTCTGTCCTTTGGGCTGACTCTGCAAAACCTCACTCAGTGGTTCTGATGCGGCCGCATCGCTATCACCTGGGAAATGCATTACTTGTTGGAAATGCAAATTCTCAAGCTCCATTCTGGACCTCCTGACAGGACTGGCCACCATATGCAGGGCCCAGGGCAAAATGAACATGCGGGGCCCTAAGATTAAAAAAATGATTAGAATTTCAAGATGGTGAGAGCAGATCACTAAGCCAAATGGGTGCTCCTTCTGAGTACGGGGTTCAGCCCATGAAGCTGGCTTGGCCGACTGAAAGGGAACCTCTGGGGGCAGGGCTTTAAGAGCCCACCAGGTAATTCTGATGCTTGGGGAAGTTTGAGAACCCCAGATACCAAACCTACCTGCCTTCCCTCAACCCACAGATGTGACCGTGAGCTATGGATCTAGTAAGAGTCAAATCAGGAGGGAAACCACAGATAGTGGCAGCGGGGGTAAATGTGGTGGTCCTGCAGGATCCGGATAACCGAACGTCGTTTGGTGATGGCTCAGAACGTGTTAAGGGGAGGCGGGGCAGGAGGGGCCAACCTGCCTTTCTCCGCTCCTCTGTGTCATGCTCCTAAGTCCACCCACCAAAGTCACCACAGCTGCGGCCCCAATCAGGGGAGAAACTGCAGGACGTGGCTAGAGCTAATCCCTGGAGGTAGAGGTGAATGAAGCAGACACGGACCATGAACCTCCTCAGGGTGGCTGGGGTCACAGCCAGGGACACGGGCAGGTGGGGACACCCCACGAGAGGTGATACCTCTTTTCCCAGCCCGCGTACTTGCCCGTGGCAGTGGAAACTGATTGAGTGCCCATCGCAAACAGCCTGTGGTATGTACACTCATGGGAAGTAACCCCTTGGCCTGAGAGAAGCACAAAAGTTGCTATTTATACAGAGTCCGTTATGTGGCAGAAATTGGACTAAGCTCCCGTTAACAACTCTCCTTGTTTCTGATCACAAGTCTAGAGACGAGCCAAAGAAATGAGGAGATATCAAAATGACATGTCTTTCTAGCAGTACCGGCATTAGGGGTCGAGACTCCTAAAACTTGTTTCATAAATACTATTCAAAATGATTAAAAATCAACAGTAAAACGCTTGTTTTATGCTTAGAGTTGGTGGGCCCTTTTATATGTTTAAAGTATTTCCTATTTTTCATTTTATTTTCTCGGCAGATGTCAGTAAGATGGTGGCCAAATGTGCCTAAGAGCCCACGCCCAAGAACCGTCTTTCCACACGACAGCCCACCAATTAGTAAACAAAATAAAACTCCTCAGAACTCTCACTATAACATCGGCAGTTCGGAGTTTTAAAATGTTTTCGTGTCATTCCATTGCTTTATCATTAAATCAAGCGGAAACAAATCCAGGACCCTCCCTCTGGACAATGAGACAAGCAACCACCGACGTCTCCTCTAAGATTTGCCTCTGAAATGATTCTACTCTAGGAAGACAATTTGAATTCAACACTCCGAGTAAAGGCAATAAAATATTCATGCATTTATCTAAACTATTTATCCTAACCAGTGATTCACTGGATGAGAAATCGTTTAGAAGCACAAAATGTTCCCTCTTTCTATGTCTCGGAATTTCATGGATTTGAGCGGATGGATACACTGCCAGTTGACGTGGGGTTGCTTCCATGAATGGAGAGCTTTCCCGTGAGACCTGAAAGCCCCGGGACCATCCACAGCATGCATGGCCGGTCTCGGCCAACCAAACAAGCATGAGATGGACGTGGAGAGCGAATCACTTTCTCACCCTTAGCTGGTCCCTCCAGGTCAGGGTGTAAACACGCTGGCAGGGTACTGTGGGCAGGCCTGTACTGCAGCCGGAGGCACAGAACTTGTTCTGTGGATAAACGGAAAACTCCGGTTCAATCACCGGAAGCGGCCAGCCCAGCCCCTCACTGAGCAACCCCAGTGAGGAACACCTTTGGGGATTTCGAACTTGCATCGGCTTCATGCTTGGCTTAGCCATGAACGGGTAAACCTCAGTCTGCTGGTACTCAAAGCACATAACCATCTCGGACACTATTAACGGTACCAGGAAAGGAATCCACTGCCACAGTAGCTCTGGACTTATGGACGATTTTCACATTCATCGTGCTCAGTTCTGCAAAGCATCCCTGATGCAGAATCCTAGGGACAAATGCACCCTGCTCCAAAGAGACGCTGACCTGGATCCAAACTCCCACCAGGACATAAAGCCAGCATCCTGGACGTTAGAATTCGCCCAGGTCTTCTAAAATTTTTTGATATGTTGCTCATCAGAGATTTTTGGTGTTCACTTTGATTTTTAAAAAATACTACACTTCAATATTGTTCATTTTGATGACCGTTTTAACACACCCTTAAAATCTGCACCTCACTCCCCTCACCCTAGTCCCTGCCCTGCCACGATAATGTACTTCTGTTCTGTTGCAAATGCCTGCGTTTTAACATACTTTGTCCTCTTTGACTCCATTCTCATCCCCTATTACCTTACAACCCTAAATCAAGGGGGAGGGTCTATTTTAAGTATCTTTGAAGAAAAGAGCACATAATTCTAATAAATATACCAGACAAGCAATTAAAAAACTGGAAGTCTTTCATTGTTAGTGAGATAAATCTCTTCTAATCTCCTCTTGGCATTCCATTTTAGTTGAAGCCAAAAATGTAAGTAGACAAGCACAAGAAAAAAATACTGAATCCTACTCTCACTCCCCCAATTCTGCTGTCGCACATAAAGAAGGGAAAAGACTCAAATCAAAACATTAAATTCCCAAATATCACTAAATGTTTCATCTTTCAAAACAGAAATTTTGATGAATATGTTCTCGTTCTTGGTTTGACACTCTTTTGAAAACTTACTTGTCCACTCCAGATAAAATCTTGTGCAGTTCCCACGTGGGGCACAGGAATCTAAAACCTTATTTAGGTATGTGAACTGACGGCAAAGAACAGAAGCTTCAGGAAAAAAAATCAAAGGGTTGGAAGAGAAAAATGAGGCAGCTCGTGCATATCACTGCACTTATGATGTTCATTTTAGAAGCTACTGTTGCTTCCCACTCTGTGGTCTTCCTGCAAATCCTTTCCATTCTTACCTTTTATAGCCCTCGTAGCTGAGTTTTCACTAAATAAGGTCTTCGGAACAAGAATTCTGTCCATTCCCATTGCGCCACAGCTTATCCAGATTCTCGACCTCATGACCTGCAAACGCAATCGCTTCCAGTCCCTTCAGAAATCTACCTGGCCTGGTGCGAGCAGGTCATGTTCCCAACTTCAGTGCCTTTCACCCTCACCCCTCTGTCTGTTCCAGAACTACGCCATCATCCTGATGCCAATCATATCAGGTGAGCTTTGCCTTTCAAGACAGTGCCACAACTTAACGTGGATGGGTTCTCTCGCGCCATATTGCCTTCATAGGTTGCTGTCTCATGGACAGCAAGGTAGAATCTAGTGACACCCGAGGTTTTGGTAAGTAGTTGTAAATGAACAGAATGGTGGAATTCTAAGCAATGTGATAATGATCACTAACAAGTACTAAGCATTTATCTAAAAACCAGATTCTATTCTAATAGCAGAACAACTCCATAAAGTTAGTGTGACTTTTTATCTCTAGTTTACAGATGAGGAAACTGAGACAGAGAGAGATGAATTTCTTTACCCAAGACCGCACAGCTAATCGCAGTGGAACTGGAATTTGGACTCAGGCAATGTGGCTCTGAATCCGAAGCTCATAACCGGCACGTTGTATCACAGAAGGGTGTGCTATTGATGGATAATTGACATGTCAGTGTGGCCGGCGCTGTCTGGCATTGGGGGTACTACAATTTGTCACCACTGTATTCTGTCGTTACCATGATCTATCATCACTGTAATTCTTTGCCGCTGCTTCTTGATTTAAGCAGCGCTGCTATTTAAGGGCTTCTGCCCTCTGTGCTGGCCTCTTTATCGTGTCCCCAGCCAGCTGACATATTTACTTTTATGACCAGGCCCTGATTCAAGCTCCCCAAACATCCAGGCCTATTGACAACCTCTCCAGCCTACAAAGTTCCCTGCAAATCCGTGCTCTTCTCAGAAGATAGCGAAACTCCACGTGGATCTATGGTCTGGAGCGCTGGTTCCCTTCTTTGTCAACACAAAGACCCCTTTGGCATGTAACAAATCACCTACCTCAAGTCCCCGGATGACAGTAAATACGTAGTAGCTAATGGGGCAGCTCTCAGCTGTCAGTTCTTAGCCTGGCTGCTTGTGAGAAACACAGGGGAGCTTTTAAAAATCCCAGTGTCCAGACTGCACCCCGGAATAAATGAATCCAAATCTCTGGGGGGGGGGTGCCCAGGCGGAGCTGTTCTTCAAGCTCCCCAAGTGATTCGAACGGGAGGCAAGGCTGAGAACCCGGGGCTCAGCACGTATCATCTTCACCCTTGTAGGCCTCCTTCGACAAGTCTGCAAGTCCTTAAAGATGTACGCATTTATACAGAGAATGGATAAACAACAAAGTCCTACTGTAGAGCACAGGGAACTATACTCAGTATCCTGTGATAAACCATAATGGAAAAGAATATCAAAAATGAATGTACATCTATATGTATAAATGAGGCACTGCTGTGCAGCAGAAATGAACAAAACATTGTAAATCAACTACACTTCAATAAAATAAATACTGAGAGAAGAAAAGAATATGCCTTGAGATTTTAAGCTTTTGCTACTCAAAGGCTGGATCATGGCCCAGCAGCATCACAGCATCATCTGGGGGGGGGGGGCTTGTTAGAAATGCAGTTTCTCAGACTCCCTCCCCTAGACCTACTGATTCAGAAAGAACATTTTAACAAGATCTCCTGGTCACCTGGATGCATAGCGAAGTTTGAGAAGCGCACCTTTCAAGCACGAAGAGACTACCTACAGCGCGAGGGTTAGGACGTTTCAAGCCTCAAGAGGCCGCTAAAAATAAATATTTATTTACTAATGTACGGATTTTCACTTCATGGTAGCATCATCGACCTTCTGGGCTGCTACCTGACCTGTACCTAGAGGAAAACAACCAAACACTCGCTTCTCCTCACTGCCAAAGTCTCCTCCAAATGTTTTCTGTTCGGTACTGCTAGTCTGCAACATCTCCAGTGCTCCTGTGAGCTTACCTTCCTTTTCTGGAAGCCCTGACACTCACCTAAGATCGTGGTGTAGCGTCAGCTTGCCTAGGCCTTACAATTCTTATTCCTATAGGGACAGGGAACAGAAGACGCTGCACCATTGTACAGTTTGGGATGGGCTTAACATGTACGCTTCCTCCTTTTCCTAAGAGTAGAGAAAGAAAGGCTCACTTCTTGGCATTTACATGCAAAGAGCGTATTGAAAACCACATCAAAATAACTTCTAACATCTATTCTTCAAAGTATAATATTCATATATTTTTAAATGTCACATAAAAGCAGAAATTCGATAAGTCAAAAATCAGTGGCTTTTTTAGGTGTGTGTTTTCTACCTTTCCCACAGAGAAGTGTTTTAAAGGCAGCTTAACGAGGGATTCACAAAGAGAAAGGCTGCCATGTCTGTTCTCTTGCACAGGGGAGGGAAATAAGTGAGTTCCTTTAAAGTCCGGTGACACAAGATCTCCTATGAAGAAAAGCCCTTTGTTTGTTTAAATTAGAATCTCCACCTTGATGATAGGAATCTAGGAACATTTTAAGCGAGCCCAATTCTCTGATATGAAACGCAAGACCATGAAATACCAGCCCGTGTATACAGTCTGAATACATTTTTATTCCCTCGTGGCTCTTAGGGTTTGAATCCTGGCAGAACGCCTTACTTGAAGCAGAACTTATCTTGATAATGATTGGCACAGAAATGGATTTTTAAAACTGCTCTTGAAAGGACAATCCCCTTAAAAATTCTTCCCTGTTCTACAGGACATGGAGCAAAACAATGTGCAATTCCTTTCCACCAAATTTCTCTAAAGAATGTAATTTTTACATACCTGAAATAGTTTTAAATGAAAATTAGTACATCACGTTCGACATCAATACAAAAGAACAATTTAACACGTGTCCACGTTTCTGAGATACCATTGAATAAGACATGCCATGACAGTATTTTATGTATGACTCAGAGGGGAAAAATGCTATGAATTAATTTAAGACATGTCGCTGATTATAAGATTAACCTCAATTTCAGAGCTGATAAAACATGGGGGAAAATGTGTCTTAGAATTGTTGAAATTCAGTAGATTAACAAGCACAGCATAAGATGATACTTTCACGAAGGAAACAATGTTTCCTGTCACAAATTTAAGGTTTGGTGTCATGGTGGCAACATCACTCCTGGTTCATGCCGCAATATTATCCCCGTAAGTAGCTTTGTTAAAGTTCACCCCCATACACTCTGCCTCTAGAGCAAATGGTTAACATAAATCATAAAATCTGACTAAGGGGAAAATTCAGTGCTTCTCCTTTGGGGGAAAAATGGTGGCTAACCGTAGCCTACTGCAAGGCTTGTATTTCCCTCACTGCAAACATGGGTGCTTGTGTATACCGGCATGCATTGCGTTTTTCTCAAAAGGATGCTAGCTAGAAAGAGCGGGAGAGTTAGGAGGGTGAGCATCTCTAATTTCATGGGTACCGAGGCCTCGGCTGAGGCCTGTCTTGTGGTTTGCTAATGTATCTGTCCCGTTGGTAAGTTACACACGTAAGACGCATCCAGGCGCAGCCTTAGGGGCCCCTAAGCACAGTATTTAGGATTCTAGAAGTGGAATCACTGATGCACATCGCTGTCAGTTCCTGAGCTTCCTGCCAGTGCGATTTAGTAGGTTTTTTTTTTTTTTTTTCCAGTAAACACAGTCAAAAGGACCGCAAGGGGCTAGAAAAAGAAAACTGAAACAGAAAAATCCCATAAAGCAGTTTCTAGTTTGATAAGTGCATTGGTAAGACAAGCATTTTCTGTTTAGGTGGATCGATCAGATTTGCCAGGAAGTCACCAAAATTCCACTCAAGTCACCCTGCGTGGAGTTATGTAAACTTTTCTAATTCTTTGGAAATGAAAATAGAAATCCCCAAGGCGGCTTCAGAAGATGGAAAAACTGGCATACTCACGAAGATTGGGAGGCCTTTCTTCTGAGTAAATAGTCCACAACATCGGGATCGGTCTCTAACAGGCTCATCAGTACTTCATTCTGGAGATCCGGGGGAACCTGCAGGGGCCAAATGCTGAGGCATAAATAAAACCACTCCAGAAGGAGGCAAACTACGGTCACTGGCAACTTGACAACAGCATATAAAAGGGTGCCTTAAAAGTTGTAAGAAAACAGAGAGATCTCTTGGTTAAAACCAAACCTACACCAACCCATACAGCCAGTTTCATTCTTAGGACAAACTGGATGATTACCAAATAGTCATATTCAATAGTCAATTCAATTCAAGTGGGGTGAACTGTCACGCCACTTGCGACCGGAGACACAGCCTAACCATTTGGGTACCTCTGTTGCTCAGACTCGATTTTCTCGGCTTTCAATAAGCAAAATATTGCGGTTAAGAGGAACGGTGTTTGTAATTTACTGGCGAAATGGGGACACTTTCTAGAGTTCATATTTAGAACTATGCCAAGACAACAGGCATAAGTTAGGACTGTCTTGGGCAGTTCTGGAACATAGGATCCGTTTATCAAGGACGGGCCCTGGAGCCGGAGACTGCTTGTATTTGAGTCCCAGTTCCACTTGCTGGGTGTGGGAATTCTGGCAAGGTATATGACCTTTCCACGTCTCAGTGCCCTCAACTGTAAACTAGAGATAAGAAGAGTACTCACCACAAAGGGCTGATGTGGTGAGTAAAGGACTTACTACATGTTGAGAACTTAGAAAAGCACCTGGCAAATAGAAAACACTCCAAAAAAAATGTTGACTACTACGTTTGCACATGCCCCTTTGTCATTCAGTGCCGGCCTTCACTCCTTTCTTGCCTCCTGGTCTATCAACAATTAAAAGTTTCTTGCTGGGCTTCCCTGGTGGCGCAGTGGTTGAGAGTCTGCCTGCCGATGCAGGGGACGCGGGTTCGTGCCCCGGTCCGGGAAGATCCCACATGCCGTGGAGTGGCTGGGCCCGTGAGCCATGGCCGCTGAGCCTGCGCGTCCGGAGCCTGTGCTCCTCAACGGGAGAGGCCACAGCAGTGAGAGGCCCGCGCAAAAAAAAAAAAAAAAAAGTTTCTTGCTTCATAATTTGATGAGGCATTCACTAGACTGTTATAGATGAGCTTCGTGTGTTTCTCTAAGCCTAATCCTCAGTGCATTAGAAGATGACCTTACAATCCTAAATCACTCACGTAGAAGTTTTTTCTGGGAGAAAAGATTGAACTCGGCTCCAGTGGCTTTCTACTCTGTAGATGCTGGTAGCTCAACCACAGGAAATTCCAACTGTTGAGGGAAAATACACGTTCAGTCTGATTCTCTCACATGTGGGCTCGGAGACAAGACCCTTAAATACTGTGGGGACACGTCTTCTGAGAACGAGTGTTGGTGGAAGAATGGCCTTCTGCCTCTTGCAGAACTCAATTCTTCCTGAGCTCTAAGAAGCTGGATGCAATTTTATTAACAAAAACGGGGATGAAAAAGCAACAAAATGCTTTCCTCCTTTCATAAATCTGTTCTTCCTACTTCATTCTGAATCGTCATTAATGACATTGCCAAACCCTAGTCACACAAGCTCAAAATCTGGGCTGGATTCAAGCTTCTCTGTGTCCTTTTCCCTCCCTGTTCGGAGCTGGGAGATCTACTTGATTTCATCTCCGTGATGCCTGTTACTTCTTACCTCTCTTTCCCATTCCAACTGCAATGATCCAGGTTTGAGTGTTCATTACCCGTTTGGAGTGGTCATCTGTTGGCCATTACCAGCCTTCATTTCCCTCTTCTTATAACAGTCATAGCCCAAGTTCCCTCTGGAGAACTAACTGCTCTCCAACCTCCAGCTGGAGGGTGAGGTGTGACCTAGCCTAAGTCAATGATCATTCCACTCCCAGACTACCGTGGTTGCCTGAGCGATGAGCATGTGACTGCATTAGAAGCAATGAAAAGCTGTGAGAATTTCCCAGAGGCTTCAGAGGGACAGGATACAGGGCCTGAGGCTTGTGCCGAGACTGAAGAAACCATTCCAAGCAATGGAGAGAAAGTAAAGGGCTCTCGTGACATCACTTGAGTCCTAGGTAAAGCTGCACCTGAAGCCACATCTGCTCTAGATTGTTCAGCTGTGTGAGCCCCCAAATTCCTTAAGCTGGTTTGAGCTTTTAGTTGAAAAGAAAGATATATCCTTGATGAGGCTTTGATACAACAGCTTGCTAACTTGTGTACTATTTCCTTCAAGTTGTACATCACATTTCTCCTCTATGTGGTTGTCAGAATGCTCTGATCAAGACACTTGATCCAAACCCCTTTTGATCAAAGCCGCTTACTTGCCTCCATCTGTATTTCTCATCTTCTCCCCTAGCAGTCATCCTCACACACCCGCGACCTCAGTGGCGCTGTGCTTCTCACTCTGACCTTTCCCCACCTCATTCCTTTAATTCGTTACATAAATATTTGGTGAGTGCTTACTGAGCGCCAGGCACGGGATGCTGGGATCCAGCGGCAAACCCAGCAGACCGGAATCCATGTCTCCTTGAAGCTGACAGTGAATATGGGGAGACTGGCATGAAACAAATGAACAGAAAACATAGCATGGATCCCATGGAGAAAGGGAAAGCAAAGAAGGGCAGTGACGAATCCTGGGCTGGGGGTGCAATTTAAATAGGACTGTCAGAGAAACTGACAATTTAGCAGATGAAGGAATTGGAGAAACTCATTCCGAGCAGAAGGAAGAAAGAATTAGCAAGATGTTGAATCAGGAGCAGTTTGGAGGCCAGTGAGGTTGGAACAGAGTGAGAGGAAGAAGGGAAGCGGTAGGAAGTATAGGTCAGGTAACCAAGGCCAGATGTCGTGCAGTCTTACTGCATGATAATGACTTCTGCTGTCAGTCTAAGCGGGTGGGGAGCCACCGGAAGTTTTGAGCAGAGGACTAACATGACTTGTCATCACTCTGGCTGCTGAGTTGCTAGGAGACTGTAGGGAAGCAAGGGGTGAAGCCAGGAGTGCAGATGGGGCTGTCGATACATCCAGAAGAGAGATGATGGGGGGCCGAGCCAGCACGGTGAGCGGATGAGAAATATCCGGATCCTGGAGACAGTAGACGATAGCATTAGCTAATTGACTGGATGGAGAGAGAGAAGGAAGAGGGAGAGGGAGTGGGAGAGGAAGAAGAAGAGAGAATGACTTCAACGTTTGGGGCCTAGGCACCGGGAAGGATGGGGTTGCTGGTAACTGATGTAGAGAAGCTGCAGGGCGAGGAGGGTCAAGGCTGGGGGTCAAGATTAGGGCTGTGGCTTTGGTGTAAGACTGAGAGGCCTGTGAGACATCCAAATGGAGGAAAGATCTAGTACGTGATTGGAAATAAAGATCTGGGGTTAAAGGGGAGTCCTGGGCTGAACATAGAGATTTGGGGGACACATACAGATGGTATTTAAAGCTCTGTGACCAAATGCAACGGCCTGGGAATGAGAATGGAAGGAGAAGAGAAGGGGCAGGACTTTTAGGTCCAGGCTGAGAGATTGTTCTCTTACTATATTGAATACATTAAATAAATAAAAAGACTGCTAATTTTGACAAACAACATGACCCAACAGATACACTTGATTACATCAGTTTTTCCAAAAGTAATATTCAAAGGGTGCAAATGAGAAGAGAGAGAGAGAACTCATTAAAAACAAAACGAACACCAAAGCAAAAAATAATATAGGCCAAAAATGTATATATTGAATTTTTTAAAAAGAATCTTCCATGAGCAAATTAGGAAGACTATTTCTATTTTTGTCCAGTTGGTTTAAAATTTCCTGTGCTTAGACATGTAATACAAAGTTTTGCTCCAAGCACCAATCCATCCCCACTAAGAATAAACAACTGGACTGCACGGCCTTCAGAGCGGTGCACACGTCACAATATTAGTTCTCTGAGAGTATATGGTGTGTCTAATGCTAACTTATCAACTCAGATACATTATTAGAATAGGTTAGAGGAAGGATCATTATTGGAAAATAACTTGCCATGAAGTTTTGCAGAAATAGCATCATTTCTGCAATTCAGAGTTTTTACTCATTCAGCCAGGCTTTATTCCCAACCAATTATAATTCCTGAGGCTTATTTTCTGGAGCGTATGTGACCTTTACTTGGTAACAAATGCAAATAGAAAGGGTCAGTGCTATAAACCTATCTACAGTTTCTTTTCGAAAGACTCACGACACCGTTTTGGCTTGGAGACACTATTTACAAATAAGTGAAAAAATAGAGCTTAAAAATGTGGACCCATGTGTTGCAGGAAGAGTAGATAATATTTTCCTATGCATTATGCAAGACTGACTACAGTGTACGTAATCCATTACTTTAATTAGCTTATTTATAGCCCACTTTGATTTAAGGCAGCTTCCAAAATTCATATGATAAAACCACATTTGTTTTTGTTTTTTAATAAAGGAATGGTTCCGAAAATTGGAACCAGTGGGAAAATGAAGGTAGAGAATTTGAAACGATGCCTGGAACTGACTTTTAATATTCATACTACAGCATCCAGTGCTGTCTTCCCAATAATTCCTGTCATCTCTGTCCACGTTTGCACATTTCATTTCCTATTATTTAATAAAAATTTCAAACTACTGGCTCAGTTCAATTGGATGAGCATTCATTTTCTATTAATTTAGATACTTAATAGAGAAACTAAAGTCAGGGGAATGAGCCGAATAGAAACACCAGCTTACAGTAAGTAAGAAGAAATATCCACGCAGGCCACTGACATACGCATTCCTTTTCAGTAATTAGGATGCTGTCGAAAGAATATCTGACCAAGAATCGATAGTTCCCGAGGTCGCGTTTTGGCTCTGCTGCTTATAATTAATATAAACTTGGACACGTCGACCAGCTTCTTTAGGATTCTATTCCTGAATCTGAAAATCCGGGCATATCCTATCTGTCCCCTTTGCCTTTATGGAGATGTTATGGGGATCAAAAGGGCTAACAAATTTGAAAGTACCTGACTAGTTGCAAAGGACTTTAGAATTACAGATTTTATTGGAAATAGACAAAATAATAAGTTAAACACTTAAAATAATAAAAGCAGATAAC